GGGCAAGCACCCCATCTCTGGACACTACTCTAGCGCAAGCACCCCATCCCTGGACAGTAGTCTAGCTCAAGCAACCCATCTCTGGACAGTACTCTAGGGCAAGCACCCCATCCCTGGACACTACTCTAGCGCAAGCAACCCATCCCTGGACAGTACTCTAGGGCAAGCACCCCATCCCTGGACACTACTCTAGCGCAAGCAACCCATCCCTGGACAGTACTCTAGGGCAAGCACCCCATCTCTGGACACTACTCTAGCGCAAGCACCCCATCCCTGGACAGTACTCTAGCCCAAGCACCCCATCTCTGGACACTACTCTAGCGCAAGCACCCCATCCCTGGACAGTAGTCTAGGGAAAGCACCCCATTCCTGGACACTACTCTAGCGCAAGCAACCCATCCCTGGACACTACTCTAGCCCAAGCACCCCATCTCTGGACACTACTCTAGCGCAAGCACCCCATCCCTGGACAGTAGTCTAGGGAAAGCACCCCATTCCTGGACACTACTCTAGCGCAAGCAACCCATCCCTGGACACTACTCTAGCCCAAGCACCCCATCTCTGGACACTACTCTAGCGCAAGCACCCCATCCCTGGACAGTACTCTAGGGCAAGCACCCCATCCCTGGACAGTACTCTAGCCCAAGCAACCCATCCCTGGACACTACTCTAGCGCAAGCAACCCATCCCTGGACACTACTCTAGGGCAAGCACCCCATCCCTGAACAGTAATCTAGGGAAAGCACCCCATCCCTGGACACTACTCTAGTGCAAGCACCCCATCCCTGGACACTACTTTAACGCAAGCAACCCATCCCTGGACATCCCCTCACACACACACACACACTAACATACTCAGTACCTGGTAACAGTGCTCACACACACACACTCAGTACCTGGTAACAGTCCTCACACAGAGGAATCCCAGATTTAGTGTAGTAGAGTCTGGCAGCCAGGGGAGCGTGACACTGCCGGCACTGGAAGCATGAGGCATGGTACGTGCGGTTCAGAGCGTCGATGGCCGGTTCAGACAGGGGCACCAGCTTACGGCAGAACCCACACACATCTGAGGCACACACACACACACACACACAGCTCTGAACAACTGTCCTCTCACAGGATTATTCCAGTTATCAGGAGGATTCTCACCGGTGCAGTGCGGTCCGGCTGACGGCTCGTTCACCATCCCACCAGCAGGGGGCACCGATCTCTCTGACAGATTGACCTCTGCAGGGGCGTCCGGGGGTCCGGGCTCAGGGTCATATGGAGGAGGGAGGTCATCAGGGTTACTGCTTACAAACACTAACAGATCAAGAATCAATCAGCAAATCCTTTTTACTATCACATATATGTATGTACTGTACAGCAAATCTCAACTGCACAAATTATATTATTGCCCAGTTCTAACTTATAATCATGAGCATGATGTTGTGCGAAGCTACTTTGAACTGCTGTGTAGTGAAGCGCTCCTCACCATCCGGTGTGCGTGTGCTGTCCCGCCTGCAGGGGGCGGCTGTGGGCTGGGCGTACAGCGGGCTGATCCGTTCCTCATGCGACGCCGAGCTCTGTAGCCGCGGCTGCTCTCGCGTCGGGCTGCTGCTGTGGACCTGAGCCGTCGGGGTGACGGTCGCCCTGAACGGAGACGACAGAGTGATGAAGACAGACGACACCATCCTTTTCTGAGGCGCCGCGGACGCCATGATGCTGAAACGACCAAACCAGTCTAATCAACTGACATTATTTAACACTGAATTACTTTTTTAATAAAATCTGTTTTATTGCACATGGAGTTACTGAACACTTTGCATATATATTAACTAACTGAATAAAATAATATAGAAACTACACATATGTATATATATATATATATATATATATATATATATATATATTATGCAAACAGCATAAACTAAACCAATTATATAAACTTCAAAGTACATCAAGTCTCAGTCTCAGTTCTCCTTAACGAACCAACAGCGCATGATTATGATTATAATTATGATTATGATTCAGGCGTGTGGAAATAGGGACTATAGAAACTAATTAAACAAGGGAACTAACTAACTCAGGATGAAAATGAAACTAACACAGAACATACATTAAAATTAACAACTAAACTACTATCCAATCCATATACACTCAAACTATATTAACTGTATCAACTTAAATTATATAAACTTAAACTATATAAACTATACAAAGGTATGAATTATCCAAACTACATAAACATAGCATAATACATAGTATAGTTATATAATATTACTGAACACTTTTGCAGAGAGAAGAGATGAACTAAATAAATAATGATCTGTCAGAGTGATCAGACGCGTTTAGGCGTGTCGAGTCTTCGAGACCGAAGTTCAGTCGTGATGTGTCGAGCGATGAGGGTTTGGGTCGAATATTGACGTACAGAATAAATCAGAACACACACGTGTGGATTGTGTCCACACACACATCTAATTCACATGGTGACCCACTGTTTCTGTTTTCTGTCCAGCTGTTGAGGAATCAGTGATTTGAGTCTGATCGCGACTCTTTTCTTTCTCAAATGTTTCTTACCTGAACAGCAGATCAAACTCTTCCAGTCAGTCGCTCCTCTTTCCTTGCGATCTGTGTGTGTGTGTGTGTGTGTGTGTGTGTGTGTGAGTGAGTGAGTGAGTGTGAGAGAGAGAGAGAGAGAGAGAGAGAGAGAGAGAGAGAGAGAGAGAGAATAGTAGCAGTAAGGATCATTTCTGCACGAGGACACGCCTTTTCCTCTCTCTCTCTCTCTCTCTCACACACACACACACACACACACACACACTCTCTCTCTCTCTCTCACAACACACACACACACACACACACACACACACTCTCTCTCTCTCACACACACACACACACACACACACTCTCTCTCTCTCTCTCTCTCTCTCTCTCTCTCTCTCAGATCAGCAGAGGTGAAGTTAAACAGTTACTGACTGACAAAGCAGTAAAATGTGACACACACACACCAGCAGTCATGCACTATATCATGCTTACAAACACACAAAGGCATGCAGTTACTTGAACACACACACACACACACACACACACACTCAGTTTTCTCTGCTTTATCACACCGAGGCAACAGGATGTGACTGTACCTGCCTTTTCCAGCTCCACTCCTGTGTGTGTGTGTGTGTGTGTGTGTGTGTGTGTGTGTGTCGTCTCATTGTTCTGTCAGTGTTATTTTCTCTACCTCCCTCTGTGTGTCTGCCTTCTTTTCTCTCCCATCCCCCCCTCACTCGATCCTGGGAAATACAAGAAACTAATGAACTAATCAAACTTGAAATAAACGAATTATAAAAACTATACATTTAATAATATTTTAATTCATTATTAACTTAATTTAGTAATGTTTGTGTTTATTGATGTTGTTGTAAAGCACATTGGTCAACTTAGGTTGTATTTAATGGTGCTATATAAAGAAAACTGCCATTGCCATATACAAAATATGACAAGCTTATCTCTAAAACTCGAAACTACATAGTAAACGATAAGAACTATATAAGTTACATAAACTATATGAATTAAACAAACTATATAAACTATGCAAACTTTACGCAGGATTGTCTGTGAATCAGCATGATTATATCTGTGGGTTTAACATCGAGAAGAACCTCCATCATGTGGAACCCGGAGGGGGAGGGGCTGAGGAATGCGTCGATTACGTCACTGATGCGGAAAGGCGCATGCGCGGCCTGACACAGGCTCCGCCCACAGGACAGATGAGGAATCTCATTAATTATCTGACATATAACAACAATCACACGTTTATAAGCGCAACCTGACTGGCGTGAGGTTATAGAGACGTATATCAGCTGATGTAGTTTTTGAAATGGTCGCCTAATATAAAGGTTTTTGATTCATAATTCATCCTGAGCAAGATGTGGTTTAACCTGTTTATCCAGCTCTTATCTGCACATACACGTTATTATCTGCACTGCTGTGTGTTTCACATACACATTTATTCACGAGCTGATCTGAGGTAAAACTATAAACACCGAAACAAATTATTCAATGAATCTGATTCCTGAGACTCACAGAAGCAAAGCATCTTCGTTTATTTCTGTATTGCCCCTTTTCTTTCTTTTTGGACTGATTTTCAAATAACATCGTTCTCACAATATACCTCACAACAATATAAAAACCTCTTTCAAACATGAGATCACAAAATAAAGAGCGTAAAAAATCAAAACAAATTTGAAAGCTTTTAAAATACATGTAACTGCCCTAATATAATATAGCACTTTTTATTCAATTTCTTTCTTTTTATTATTAGTTTGTATTTTTCCAATACATCCATTTTATATTTTAGTTGTTGTTATTATTCCTTTTTTATGTAATCTGAATTACAATGCCTTGTATTTTTGTCTAAGAACTTAGAATGCCTTTTATATTTTGCATTGTGCTTGTCTTTAATTGAAATAAAAATAAATAAATTAAAATATCCTTCAATTCCTGTTGTAGATTAACGACCAAACGGGCCAAGTACGCGCAAGAAAGGCACGTGACCCTCCTCGTCCACTGCGCAGTAGAAATGTTCCGATCTAAACGCGGCAAAAGCCGTAGAAGTTATTTTTCTTCTCAGATCTGCTGATGATGGTTATCGACATCTGCAAGACTGAGGGAAGAACAACACTCATCATGCAGCGCCACCTGCTGGAGCAACAGCAGAGAACCATTAAATAATCACCTCAGAACTTATGGACAGAACCGCAGGACACGGTGAGAGGCGCGCGCACGTGACACGAGCGTTTTATAAACACGTGGAAAACAATTAAAATAAAAAGAAACATCTAATATTTTATTTGTTTAGCAGCATGTCATGTGACCATTAGCCGCCACCGCGGGAACCGTTAACATGCGAATGTGTCGATAAATACTAGAAATATACATGTGTGTGTGTGTGTCTAAACCAGACATGAAGTAAAGTTACTGGTGTTATTTGTGTTCTGAAGCTGCACTAATAATCACAGAGAGTCTGTCAGTAGAAACTTTAATCATCACGTTTTAAAAACACAAAGAGTCTTTTAGTTATTTAGAAATAAGACACACTGGTGAGGTAAACCCAACTGCATTGAGTCCGGCGTGGAGTGAGTGTGGGAGTATGGGGAATCTCTTCAGTGTGTGTATAGCAGCGCTCGCTGCCTCAGGACGTCCCATATGAGCATACTGAGAACCGTATGAGGAGCCAAACGCACAAACACCGGCACCATTCCCTTATACAGACCCACAATCCCCTCAGCGGCGCAAACCTTCATCAGACAGTCCACAAACCCGCTGTACAGGCGGCCCTGAGACACACACACACACACACACACACACCTCTGGTTTTAATACTGTAAATTAAGCAGTGTTGGGGAGTTACTTTGAAAAGTAATGCATTACTATATTGTGTTACTCACTTAAAAAGTAACTAATTGCGTTATTTAGTGTCTTTTTTAGAAAATGTATTAGTTATGTTAATTTTGCGTTACTTTTTTCAGCTGGGCTGGGCTTTTTTTTTTAAACAAAAAAGTGCTATTTTTGGGTAAATGTAAAGACCCTTTCACACCAAAAGTGAAAACATAAGCCTCAGGCTGAAGGAAATGCAAATTGGTCAATAAAGTGAGACGAAATGCTAAGAAATGTACGTTTTATGTAGTTATTATTGGAGGTTTGCATGGTATTCTGATTCTGCTTTTCTGAAACTGAATCTCCTCAAAACACACACACACCTGCACTTAGATTTGTCTCAACATGGGGACAGGAGAGCTGTCAGGCAATAAATGGGAAAACAAAGTAACTTGCGTTTCTTATTTGAAAAAGTAACTCAGATATTTTGTTGTAAATTTGTAATGCGTTACTTTACTAGTTACTTGAATGTTCTGATTACGTAACTCAAGTTCTTAAAGAGAACCCCAACACTGAAATGAATGTTATTTGATATAATCTTGGTGAATAAGTATGTGTTTTACCCTCTTAAACTCGTCCACTGGTTGGTTGTACAGTCGTGTGCTGATGACGTCAAACGGGGTCATCGTGATGGACACGGCGACTCCGCTAATCATGGCAGCGATGAGCGCGATGAGCCAGCTGTGAGGACTGAACCACTGGAAACACACATTCACACACTTAACCAGCGCTAGTGTACTTTACCTAATTATAGTTAGGCACGTTAGCCTTCTGAAGCACTAACCCTCCAACTGAAGCACAAGTGCTATAAAAAAGGTTTTATAATGAACAGCTCAATTATGTTCATAAGAGGATGTGTGTGTGCTGACCTGCGCGCGTGTGACCCAGTCTTTAGCCGAGCTGAACGTGGAGAGTTGAGCCGCTGACCCCACCGTGACCCTTGGCACGGCCCCGTTGACCCCGCGCCACAGACCCGTCACACCCTCGCGCCGGTAGATGGACAGCAGCGCGCTCGACACGCTCTGAGGAGCACCAATCACAATCACTCTCACTAATACTGGCCAATATACCCATACTCATTTAATCTGAAATATAAAGTATACTCAAATAAACGCATTTAAACTCCTAAACTCAAATAAATTCAAATATACTCATATAAACTCAAACTAAAATATACTCTAATATGTGATTGGCTGATAAAGATCTGGTCAGAGTTCAGCTGTACCATGTGACGCTGTGTCCGTTCACACGCCTCTGTGTGCTGGACTCTGATTGGTTACCAGGGCAGAACACACACACACACACACTGTAAGTGGCGCTGCAGATCTCGTACCTGATGGTTGTGCTGGTGACCGACAGCGATGGCCGCCACCGTCTGCGCCTGCAGGTGTGTTTTTACCTGTAGAAATACACACAGGAAACGCATCACTCTCATGTGAACACACTTATCACTGTAAACGCCGTAAATACTCATCTTTCACTTCCTCTGCCTTTCTGATATTTGAGGCCGTCTCTGGATGCCTTACTGTCAACACTCTCTCTCTCTCTGTGTGTGTGTGTGTGTGTGTGTGTGACTCACATATACATAACAGCTCATGTTACTGACTGATTGTTCCTGAGTGTGTTGAAGACGCTACACAACCAGGAATTCAGCAAACGCTGCTCATGTTGCATTCTTTCACTTCAGCTCGTGACACTAGCTGTGTTTCCATCTAAAGTTGCAAACTGAACATATACACAAACTGGATATATCAGAAATAAAACAGTTTCAGGTGGATGGCAACAACAGTACAGATAGTCCTACCAGATACGCGGGCGAGGCGACAAAGGCCCCCAGAGCTCCAGCCGCGGCCCCTGCGATCAGACTCCCCCCGGGGCCGTCGGCGAGTCCCGAGGCCTGCGTGTAGGAGTAGAACCCGAGCCGGACGCCGTTCATCAGGCCCTGGTACAGCAGCGCCGCCGTGAGCCCCTTCTGCAGGCCCCGGACCCCGTCGGTGCGGCCCACGAGCCACAGCGCCTGCAGGACCCCGCGGTACAGCCGCTGGTAGGAGCCGCGGGCCCTCAGCTCGCCCTGCAGCTGCAGACGCGTCTTCACCACCTCCAGCGGGTTGGTGAACACACAGGCCCCACAGCACGCCAGCGCACCCAGGCTGAAGTCCAGCGGGGGCCACAGGGGCCCGGGGCCGAGGGTCTGCGGAGGGGTCAGGAGCCGCGTCACAGACATGTCTGGAGCCAGGAGACACCGAAGATCCAGCTGGGCCGCCGGTTATCTCGTCATGTTATACTGTATTAGCATGTTTCTGACAAATCAAGTCCAGGATTCAAATCTGCAACAAAGTTACTGGTCAGTGCAATGATTCTTTAACAATTACAATGACAAATCATGCTCTTTGTTGAACTGTTTAAACCCGTATAGATGTCCCTTAGAGACTACCCCTAAAATGTCCCATATAGACAACCCCTATAGATGTCACATATAGACAACCCCTATAGATAACATTAAAACATTAAACACTACTGTTCAAAAATTTGGGGTCAGTAAGAATTTTTTGTGTGAAATAAAATAAAATAAACCAATACTTCTATTCATCAAGGACTAAAAGTGACAGTAAAGACATTTATGATGTTACAAAAGATTCTATTTCAAATAAATGCTGTTCTTTTGAGCTTTCTTATTCATCAAAAAATCTGAAATAAAATACAAATAACGGTTTTCAACATTGATAATTTTCATAAATGTTTTCTTGATCATCATATTAGAATAATCACGTGACACTGAAGACTGGAGTAATGATGCTGAAAAATCAGCTGTGATTACAGGAATAAATTACACTTTACTATATATTCACATAGAAACACTAACACTTATTTAAATTCTAATAATATTGCACAATATTATACTGTTTGCTGGTAAAATGCAGCCTTGGTGAGCAGACTTATTTTAAAAACATTAAAACATCTTACCGATCATAAACTTTGAACAGCAGTGTACACACATACATACAAACAACTCAACTGCACGATCAACTTCACAAGAGTATTTCTCAGTATAAACATCTCTCTTACCGAGTCCGCTCGCGTTTCTGTTGAGATTCACACACACACACACACACACACACCCTCGTAAACACGAGGCTTCTCCCGAAGGCCCCTCCCACTGCTCCTGCCTAACCAATCAGCGCACAGCTTCTCCTCCGCCTCACAGCCTCCCCGGCGGACAGCCAACGGCGTCGCAGCAAACAGAATAAATTTAAATGGGTTAAAGGTGAAATCCTGTCCAAAGTCCCGCTGCGGATGTTAAACTCGCATTCTTCAGTCAAAAACAGAACAATGGGCTGCAATCACACACACTTATACGCACATATAAATGCATTATTAAGTAACTCGTTACATATAGACCTTTTCTAGGTGCTCAAAGCGCTTTACATAAGATCCAATCAACTGTGAGGAATGTTAAATAGCAATACTATTCTCTGTGACTAATGTCAGGTTCGAACAGCTGAAGGCAATTGAAAGATAATAAGCTGAAGGAGCAGTATTTAAACCACAGTAAATGGCATGTATAATTGAGTGCTTTAGTTGAACGGAATTGAGACGATGATCATGTGACGTCACACGTGACCGCACAGCTTTATTCCGTTATTATAGTAAATATCTTAAAAACGCACGCCACATTATATCAGAGAATTAAAACATGGAGAACTTTCTTTATTTCCGTTTACAATCCACGGTCTCATTCCCTCCACAGCACAATCACACTCTCTCTCTCTCTCTCTCTCTCTCTCACACACACACACACACACACACTTAATGTAAACAATGCAGGCTGAAAGAGCGGTAAAAAAGGTCCATTTCATCAGTTCATCCTACAATCGTGTTTCCTTCAGTCAGATCGATGTTTCTGAGGGTGAAATGCTACAGAAACAATAAAACATTCCCTTCTAGATTTCTCTCTCTCTCAAACACACACACACACGCACAGTCGCACACACACACTCTTGCAGAGCACATAGCAAAAACCTCATTCATTCACTCATAAATTGAAACAACAACTATGTTTGAGTGTCCTTTATATGAGTTGAGCAGTATTTTAAGGTAAATTAGTGTAAGGGCAGCAGTCGTTCCCGTCGTGTCGCGGCGGCTAGCGCTCCTCCATTACCTCTTGGCACGGACGAAGTACAAGGCGTTGGTTTTGGGGTAATATTTGACGTTCTGCTTTTTGTCCATGAGCCCGCCGAAGATGATGAGCTCCCCGCGGCCCTGAACCACCGTGTGCAGGCTGGTCTCTGGCGGCCCCGTGACCGCGCTAGCCGCTCCGCCGCCGCCATACACCTTCCACGACACCACACCCTCCGCCTTGGCACGCGACACATCCAGCAGGTACATCTGCATGGGTTTGCAGTTGAGCGACTGGTACAGCGGCTTGCCCACGTTGAGGCTCTGCGGCGGATGGTGTGCGAGCCGGCGGGCGATGGGAGGGAGTGAGTGGGCGTCGGCCTGTGGCGGGCTGGAGGAGGTGGGAGGAGTTACTGCGGAGGCGCTAGGCTGGGGTTGCGACGACGAGGATGAGGACGAGGCTTTAACGGCCTCCAGACCGCGCCGCAGTGCGGCGGGAGAAACGGCTCCCGGCGGGGTGTGTGGAGGCGTGTGAATCCCGTTAGCACCGAGCGGGTCGCCGTCCCAGCTGTAGTCCGCGGGTCGCGCAGGTGGAGACACCGCCGCTGGGCTAGTGCGTGGCGACGGAGACGAGCCGTTGAGTAACGGAGGGCTATCGGGACCTCGCGAGGGCGATGGACTCCCGTCCCGTGGTCGCGCCGACGCTCTGGGCCGTAGCGTTCCCCAGCGCCCGTTCACACACGGCGCCTCCTCGACGGCACCCAGAACCGCCCCCGCCGCGCCGCTACGCACCGGGGACTGGGAGCGCTGGGAGGACGGGTCCGGGCCCAGAGGAGCGGGAGTGGAGCTGATGGGGGACGGCCGAGAGTTCAGACTCGGACTAAGAGGAGCTCGACCAGACGGAGCCTGAGAGAACACCACCACACACTGACCCACCTGAGAGAGAGAGAGAGAGAAAGAGAGAGAAAACAAAGAAAACACTTGACTTATTTGTGAAATATTTATGTATATAGACTGTATGAAATATGAGCGTAGTGTGCATGATGTCACTTGTAGTGTTTCTGAAGCTCAAAGTGGCCGTCGCCATCTTGGCGTCACTCCCAGATAAACGAACATGTGCGGCGAGGCTGATTAGCTAAGGTGACGTGACGCTAACACACAGCAGACAAAAGGCTAGGAGTGACATCAGCGGAACTTTAAGGGCAACAGTAAAGCTCATTTGAGGCGGATCTGGAAGCGGTCTGCAGTGTGTGGTGAGAGAGAGAGAGACGGCACCTTGCAGGCCGGATGGCACCAGAGCTCCGGCGCGCCGTGATCCTCGTTCTCCACCCGCAGCTGCTGCCACGTCCAGCTGGAGGCGCTCATGTGCAGCAGCCAGGCGTCCTTCAGCAGCTGCACACACACACACACACACACAATATCTCTTCAGTGAGCGAAACAGACATTGAATAAGCACTGATGGCGGTATTAAACGGATAGTACGACAGATGCACTTTAATGGACTTAAAATCCATTCACTGCCATTATAAAGCTTGGAAGAGCCAGGACATGTTTAACATAACTCTGTGTTCGTCTGACAGAAGAGCGTCACACACACCTCGAACGGCTTGAGAGAGAGTAAACCATGGGCTAATTTTAATTATTGGGTGAACTGTCCCTTTAAATAGTAATTTGATGTCAATGTTGAGTTTTGACAATAAATGAACCCTAACCCTAACTGAGCTGACTGAAAGAAAACAAGATGATCCAACAGGGCGATCACATAACCAGAGATTAGAAGGCGGGTCATATATATATATATTCCTGCAGTCCTGAGATACTCACAGCGTTCGGCCCGCCGCAGCCGCCCAGAATCAGCAGCGTCTCGCTGTCAATCACGATCTGAGGGACACAGTGAGCGCATCAGTCTCAGCGGCATCATGGGAAGGGTTAGAGGGCTTAAAGAGGAGAGTTACCTGAGACTGGCCTCCGCGCGGGTGAGGAGACGGGCCGCTGACACTGGGTTTGGACCAGGACCACTGCTCCAGATCCAGGAGCCACACCTCGTTACTCCTGACACACACACACACACACACACACACAGATGAGACTCGACAGACAGTCCCCCCCTCACCAATACACTAGCGCTCGATTTATACACCTGTGGCCATGGAAATAATTTGATCACCTGAATTCAATGATTTGAAGATGTGTCCTGATACTTTTGGCAATATAGTGTAGACACACACACACACACACTCATACGTACATCTGCCGGGCCCCCAGTGAGCCCCCGAACACCACCATAGTGCTGCCGATGACGGAGGAGGAGTGGCCAGCCATGGGCGGAGGCCCGTGAGTCGTCACGATGCAGTTCCACCTGCGGCCACAAGGGGGCGGAGTCACTGACACACCATGTGATCAAACACGACACACACTCTAATCTCTTCACCACACACCTCCACACAGCAGGTTTTTAATGAAGACCCTCACCAGTTCTTGGAGGGCGAGTAGGTGTGTATCTCGTCGAAGAAGCGCTCGGGCTGGTGCAGCGGGTACGGGCTGGGCCGGGTCCACCCGCCGAACAGAACCAGCAGGTCCCGGTACATGACCAGCGTGGCCCCGGCCTTCGGGGACGGGTACGAGCCTGGACTCAGAGGAGAGAGAGAGAGTGTGAGTGAGTGTGTGTGTGAGAGAGAGAGTGTGTGTGTGTGTGTGTGTCACCTGACGCCAGCGGCCGGATCCACTCTTTGCTGTTGAGGTCCAGGCGCCACAGGTCGTTGAAGGCCGCGTTACAGCTACTCTGAGTGCAGCCGCCGAACACGTACATCGACTGGTTACTGTCGTAATAACACGCGCCTGCAACACAACACCTGGGCTTCAGGCACAACACTCGACTGTTTGTTGAGCAATGGCAGACGGAGGTGTGGACTTCCTCCTTCATGCCCACGGTTTAACTCTCACTAACATGTGATTCATTACAAGGACTCAAACTGAAAACTTGCAATTAGTCGAGAAAGAACTGGTTCAAAAGAATGTATTCTGATTGTGTGTGTGTGTGTGTGTGTGTGTGTGTGTGGTTACTGACTGTGTGAGAAGCGCTGTGTTATGGGCGTTCCAGGGTACGGATAAGTGCGACTCTCCCACTGGATGTTTCCCTCCTGAACGGCCCGCAGGAAACCATGATAACACTGATACGCCACACCTGAGACACACACACACACACACACACACGTGAGATTTCACATTCGCAGTTGACAGCTCTGACTGACCGTTAAACTCGTCTTCATCTCAGTGTCACATGACCATCAGCACACACTATATACTATAATAAACACTAGAGCTGTAATGATGACAACTGAAACTAGTAAAAGCGATTGTAATAATTAAGAATAAAATAAAGGTAAAATAAAAAATATAACAACTAAACTGACAAACATTACGATAAATATAATGGTAACAATAAAAATAAATACAACAACTACAATACCTGTGACGGCAATATAACCATAACTATAATAGTAACTGCAATAATAACTGTACTGACAACTATAACAATATTGATATTTTTCTGCAGTTTTGTCGCCTGTCGCTTTAAACGCTCGAGCTCTTTAAAGCAGGATGGATTCTGATTGGCTGTCAATGTTTTGATGGTTCATCAGCTGGTAAACTCGTTCCTCTGTGCCGTTCTCGCTGCGTTCACAAACACGAATAGAGCATCAAATTCACATCTAGTTTTGAATCCAGTCCAGAGCGAAACTGTCGCGTGTAAAAAGCAAGCGTTTTGACTCGCGAATGAGGCGATTAGAATAATGTTTCATATAATCTAGATTAGATAAAGAAAAAAGCTTCAATAAAAAATTAATGTTAAACATAAAATAACATTATAAGCTGAAAAGCAGGCCTGTCGCCGTTTATCCCGTCACTACACCACGTGACCACAGCTAGCGGGCTCCTGATTGGTTAACACGGCGCGAACAGACGTCAAAGTTCAGATTTTCAATTTGGGATTTGCGTTAAATGCGTGTAACGCACCAGACGCTCAAACGCATCAAGAGGTGAACTCGCGTCTACCGCTTGTGAACTAAGAAATAATAACCAATTAATTATTAATCTATTCATGTTTGGTGTGAACGCACACGATTATGGAATGGTGTGTCCGACTGACCTTTGATGAGGCGGTACCACTGTTTGCACACAAGCGCCGCCATCTTGTGCTCCTGATAGGGCGACAGGAACGAGAGGATGAACTCCAGCACCTCCTCCGGGAGCTCCCCCATGCTGTGAGTGCTGGCCCCGCCCCCTGGCGCCAGAGCTCCTCCCCCTGGCGCCAGAGCCCCGCCCTCCTCCGTGTCCATAGCAACCAGGCAGCCGTCTTCCCCGTCTGAGCCGCGAGACATGACGCCGTCTGTACGTCTGCACACACACACATCTGAGGTCATGTGACCAGGAAACAAATTGCGCACTTCTGCACTATTCTACGTCGTTTAGTAGTACAAATACTGCGTTTACACTGATAACTCTAAAAAGAAAAAGTGCACTTTAAGTACCCAGATGATGCGCTGATCTAACTGAATAAGCCAAGCGTGAACGTTGGACACTTCATGCACTCGACTGCCGCAGCTTTAATTCCGTAGCGGAGGGGGAGGGGCTTAGAAGAGACTAAATAACCATACATAGTTCATACACTACACGGTTGAGTACAGTGAATAGTGCGTCATTTGGGACACAGTTACACACATCTGAGGTCATGTGACCCAGACCAGGCACACAAACATCTGAGGTCATGTGACCCAGAAACAGACTGCGAACAATGTAAAACGCTGGCGCTCAAGATGTGATGTAATTTATGATATTCCGCACTCATCATTAATGATCATCATACATTAGGTGGCACTACATGTGATTCATTCTGTGAAAAGCGGTTTGAGATTGCGTTACCATGGAAACGGCAGTTTAAAATCTTACATTTTTTAATGATATCAACTTCAAATTAGGTCAAACCGAAGGTTTTGACTTTCTAGCGTTTTTTAAGTCAAAATTATTTCATACAATTGTGTAAAATAAACCTGTTTGGTTCAGTAAACTTAGACTTCCATAACTTTTTGACACTTTCAGGGTTTTTTATCTATTCTTAAAGTGTCTTCTTTAAGACTTGAACTAATTCCCGTTCAGATCGAGGTGACAGCAAACGGGTTCAGTTCAACTTCATGTCAAAGTCGTTCATAAGAAGAAAGTGGCTTTAAAACTGGACGCGTTCCCGCAGCACACCAGCTGAAGCGCCGTCAGTGAGCGTCGACGCCCGCGTTATCTCTCGATCAGACGCTCCTCATCTTCAGCACAGTGTTAAACCTCACACATGTCCTCGGGACCTGCCTCAGGAGTGTTTACTAGAGTAAAAGCAGGCTATTTGCTGCTGCTGCTTCATTAGCTGAGCGCTAACAGCCGGCTGATGCTCATGTAACGCGGCTGATGACGCTGCGGGCGTCGCGAGGCTGACGCGCGAGGCTTTACCTGTGTGCGTGACGCTCGGTGTGTCTCTCGCCCGCGCGCTGCTTCTGTTTTTCTGCAGTTGTTTGTGTTTCTCTTTATCAGCTGCTCTCTTGAATCTCCTCACTCCAAACATCCGCCATCTTCCCTCCGCACGGGAGCGCGCACGCACACACGTCACGCGTCTCAGAGCGCGCGCGCGCACGGTGGGGTACGTTACGTTCGTGCGCGCACGCTCTTTCTCTGAAATAAGTACATAATTTATTTTTTAGATTATTTTATTTGTCTTAGGCTCGATTTTTAGCATTTGTAATAAATATTTGTGTGACATACTGTCAATTACAATTACACACGTCATAGTATGATAATAAAATTATCCAGTTTTTGTTTTAATTTTATTTTTTTAACTTATTTCTTTGCTCCCCTGGCTCCAAAGTGTATGTTGTATTGTTTTGTTCTTTAAAACATAAAAAAATAAAAAGTTTTCCTTTAGAAAATAATCTGCTAAATAAAAAAAGCTGTGCATTTTTACAAAAAAAAACAACATGATTTTATTTCGCATCTAGTCTTGAATACTCGACCGCTCGCACAGAACGACTAACACTAGCAAAACGATCAACGTTTTTATTGTCATTTATATATGTTAAAACAGCGTTAGATTATGATGTCACTTCTCTAAGTTAGTGTGTAGTGTTGCTGTTTGAGCGTTAACAACATCTGCAGAGTTACGACTCTCAAAGCAAAGGGAGAGATTTGCTTTTACAGAAATGTTTTTAAAGGACTACAACAAACGGCTACGAACTACATGAGCTTCCTCACGTCTGCATAAACTCATCAACTAACCATTCAGAAATGTCCTGTTTCTTCTCTCTCTCACACACACACACACACACACACACACACACACACACAAACTCTGGGGCATCAGATATTTATTTTACATCCTTACATTATAAGACCCCTTTAAAAGTTGTATTTTCAGTTGAATGTGGGGAAACCACTAGAAACATTTGTTGTGTTGAGCTATTTCAGTTACTTTAGTTTGATTTATTCTTTGCAAACAGCTGAACGTCTGTAAATGTTGCATTACAACTGTAAGTTTGGAAAGTCTGAATCACTGTAGAGTCGGTTCGTTCTGAACGACACAATCTCATAGCTTTGGAACATTTGATTCATTTCAATGAATCAGTTCCTAAACTCGACTCTCAGTTCTTGATTCCTTCGGACAGTGTGTGTTAGTGAGTGTGTGTGTGTGGCTCAGTTCTTGGTTCATTAGGACAGTGTGTGTGTGTGTGTGTGTGTGTGTGTGTGTGTGTGTGTGTGTGTGTGTGTGTGGCTCAGTGGTTGTAAATAAACAGATTTTCACAAAGATTTAGATTTTAAATCCTTCCATGGTCTCTTTTTCTGTAGCACTTCTTCTAAGTCAGTTATATAACTTTAATTATATTAAATATACTACAACAAAATATGCGTATATTCATATTGTTGGTCAACTTTATGCATTTGCAGATGTCACTTTCATTACATTCAAGGTAAACATGTTTGAGTCAGTCCGTGTTTGACTCGAGCAAAAACATGGTTCAGACGTAAGAAACGAGAGTTGCTTTACTGTCACACACACACACACACACACACGAGCCGTCTCGATCATCACAGTTCATCAGCCACACACACACACACACACACACACACACACACGAGATACTGCGGTTCATCATCGCTTCTAACACATGAGCGCCGCGCTAAACCGGCGTTAAACTGGAGTCCCGTCAGGTTTGCTCTGCTCTGATGTCACTTCCTGCCGGGGGCTGAGCACTTCCTGTGCTGTGAGCGTGAAGCCCGTCCGCGAGCCTTTAGCGGGTGTTTCCGGCGCCAGCGCTCCTTCGCCATGAAGCCAGTCCATCTTCTGCTGGTGCTGTCGGACCGCCTCGTCCACACGGGCGTCGATCATGGCCTCCGTCAGGACCCCGTCCTCAGACGCGTACGCCGCCGCCTACACACACACACACACACACACACACACACACACACATGAGCCTCTGCCGGACATTCAACTGCTACTTAAAGGGATAGTTCACCCAAATATGCAGTTTGTGAGTTGTGTGTGTGTAGTTTGTGAATTGTGTGTGTGTGTGTAGTTTGTGAGTTGTGTGTAGTTTGTGAGGTGTGTGTAGTTTGTGAGGTGTGTGTGTGTGTAGTTTGTGAGTTGTGTGTGTAGCTGAGCGAAGGACAGACCTGCCAGGCCACGCCCAGTTTAGAGATCTCTCGTCCAGACATGCCGTCCACACGCTTGGCGATCTCCGAACACTTCAGCCCGTAATCGAACTGAGCCAGCTTCAGCCGCCTAAACACAATCAACCAATCAATCAATCAATCAATCAATCAATCAATCAATCAATCATATCGTTGTGTGTGTGTGTGTGTCTTACTGGCGTCCTCCAGTGGCCGGCTCCAGCACGTATCGGTCGAAGTACAGCCGCACGAGTCTCTCCCGCTCGTCGGGTCCCGGCAGCTTGAAGTTCACGATCTCGTCGATTCGGTCGTTTATGGCCCAGTCGAACTGCTCAGGCTGATTACTGGCCAACACCAGCATGAACCTGCACACACACACACACACACACACACACACACACACGATAAACACACCAGCGAGAGACAGACGACAGAGTGTGTCGGAGATAGAGAGAGAGAGTGTGTGTGTGTGTGTTTACTTGTTGCTCTGTTCTCCGGTGCGGTACAGGAATGCATTTAGAGTCGCTCGCAGATCCTCGCTGATCTTCTCCTGAAACACACACACACACACACACACACACACACACACACGTCAGCAAAGAGGGGGGCATCTTTTGAATGACTGATCGCGAGAGGGAAAAATTACGTTTAAAACTGTCGTGTGTGTGTGTGTGTGTGTGTGTGGTGACGCTGTATTCTGCTAGTTAAACATGTATCGTGCAGTAATATGGCTCTGAGCGCGTGGCGTGTCGGTTAGCGCCGCATCACAGAGAGCGTTACTCAGTCATGAAGGGCAGCATTAGCGATATAGACCAACAGCACTTCAACAGCAGACTGTGAACATGTGTTTCTGCTGTACAGTTGGGCAGTTTAACATGCGGCTCTATGGGAGTGAGTCTCTCCTGCAGCACCTCTAGTGGCCAGAGGAGGAACTGCAGGATAACACACTCAGGGTTGTGTCGCGCATGTGAACACACCGCGCGGAGAGAGACTCACCGTGGACCTCTTGCGCAGGAATGCGTCGGCTTCATCCACAAACAGCAGCAGCCTGAAACACACCAATTCAACACACACCAGTTCAACACACACCCACCAGTTCAACACACACACACACACACACACAGCAGTTCAACACACACACACAGCAGTTCAACACACACACACACAGCAGTTCAACACACACACACACAGCAGTTCAACACACACACACAGCAGTTCAACACACACACACACAGCAGTTCAACACACACACACACCAGTTCAACACACACACACACACACACACACAGCAGTTCAACACACACACACACACACCAGTTCAACACACACCAGTTCAGTTCAACACACATTTATATGTATGAAATATATAGATAAACTTGCCTTGCCTAATGTAAATGTAAAAAAAATTACAAATTATTAGTTATTTAATTTATATAAAATATTATATATGCTGACAAAAAATGTGTCAACGTATCTTATTTCTCATGTTATATATGCTGATATACAGTACATGAACTAAAAACTAAATATCAATATAGAACAAATAATTGTAATTATATATATTTATTTATTTATTTATTTATTTTACACACACATATAAAATAAAATAGAGTGTTTTACAGAACTATATATTAAAAAGAAATTGGAATAACACACACTGCTTCTTTTGTGTTTGGCATGTATAAAGTGTGTGTAGGTGTGTGTGTCTGACCCGCGGCGGCTGGTTCCGGCCCAGTCGAACACCTTGTGCATCGCCGTCACTCCGTCACGCCCCATCGGGGCCACGTCGCCCCCCGTCATGATGGCGTAATCCATCCCAGAATGCATCGCCAGCTTCTGCTCACAGCCAATCAAGTGGTTACTAAGGCAATTTCTAGGGTGTTGTGGTTGGTTGCTATGCAGTTGCTAGGGTGTTGTGGCTGGTTGCTAAGCAGTTGCTAGGGTGTTGTGGCTGGTTGCTATGCAGTTGTTAGGGTGTTGTGGCTGGTTGCTAAGCAGTTGCTAGGGTGTTGTAGCTGGTTACTATGCAGATGCTAGGGTGTTGTGGCTGGTTACTATGCAGTTGCTAGGGTGTTGTGGCTGGTTGCTATGCAGTTGCTAGGGTGTTGTGGCTGGTTACTATGCAGTTGCTAGGGTGTTGTGGCTGGTTACTATGCACTTGCTAGGGTGTTGTGGCTGGTTGCTATGCAGTTGCTAGGGTGTTGTGGCTGGTTACTATGCAGTTGCTAGGGTGTTGTGGCTGGTTGCTAAGCAGTTGCTAGGGTGTTGTGGCTGGTTGCTAAGCAGTTGCTAGGGTGTTGTGGCTGGTTACTATGCAGTTGCTAGGGCGTTGTGGCTGGTTGCTATGCAGTTGCTAGGGTGTTGTGGCTGGTTGCTAAGCAGTTGCTAGGGCGTTGTGGCTGGTTGCTATGCAGTTGCTAGGGTGTTGTGGCTGGTTGCTAAGCAGTTGCTAGGGTGTTGTAGCTGGTTACTATGCAGTTGCTAGGGTGTTGTGGATGGTTGCAATGCAGTTGCTAGGGTGTTCTAAGTAATTGCTAAGATGTTGCTAAGTGGTTAAAATTGTGTTGTGGATGGTTGTTATGTGGTTGCTAAGTGGTTACTGAGGGATATTTCTTAGACGGGCTCTGACTTGACGACGGCACACGCGTGTGCGTTACCTTAGCGAAGAGCGTCTTCCCGGTGCCCGGCGGGCCGTACATGAGGATGTTGCGGTACAGGCCGCGGTTCTGCCGCGTGTTCCTGGTGGCGATGGCGATGTCACGCACACGCTCCTCCAGAGACGGCTGCAAAGACAGGAAGTGACATGCGTTTCTCAGCACGCACATGCTCGCTAACAGGAAGTGAATGATGCGCAAACACTCACGCTAAGCACGACTCCCTCCAGCGCGTCCTGTGCTTTACTCTTCAAACGCTTCGCCATCTGAAACACACAGGCCATTGTTTAGGGTGTGTGTGTGTGTGTTCTTTTTTCAGAGTGTATGTGTTTGTGTGTGTCAGTTTTTAGTCAGCACCGGCTCACACCTCACTTCCTGTCTGCGCAGGAAGTACACATCAGTCGTACCTTGATGGGGTGTTTGAGGGCTTCCGCCACCGTGATCCGAGAGGTTTCCCGAACTAGCGAAGGTTTTCCTAGCCTAGCCTCGATGTAGCGTCCCGCCACAGCTGTCGCGTTACGCGCCGAGTAAACGCCCACCGCTAGCAGCGTCAGTCCTGCCACCTACAGGAGTGGATGAGCGTGAGACACGAGCGACACCGAGACGTGCTAGCGCTCACAGACGCCAGAGATGAGCTAGCGCTTACCGTAGCCGTGACTTTATCCCAGTCGGATACGAACGTGCGGAAACCTTCCCCGAATACAGCGCCCGCCGTCCTGAAGCACACGAACACAACAGCCAAAATGAAGCCGGCGGTCATGTGACCATTAGCATCTGAGCATATACAGTTATCAATCTAAAGTAATAATGTCAAGAGTCGTGTAAGGGAAATTTTAAACTGAATATTAAGCTAACCATTTTTTGACATTTGACCTCATTTAAACAGCTGAGTATCTGAGACAATGTACTAAGGCATTCTGTACTTCAGATGAATGTGTGTGTGTGTGTGTGTCAAACACCTGATTGTGTGTATAAATAACAAATATGAGAAATGGAACCAGACAGATGACTAAGTTCGAACCTGACATCTATGAAGTAATCATTTAAAGAAAGTTCCTCTACCTAGTAACAGAAGAACCAATCATATTATCTTTCATTGCATCTTATTTTTTATGTATCTTTTCTTTTTGAACATATGCTTGTGTGTTTTATAAGCATAGATGTTTTCTTGATTTATACAATAGATGTGCATTTTCAGTAAATGTTGTGTCGGGGAAATTGCAAATAGGACAGCCAGGCCAGGTCAAAAGGACATAAGATTCTGCCCGGTGACAATAACTAACTTAGACAAAGAGCGAGACGTGTGTGATTAAGGGGAATTGAAACTGTGTACGAAGAGGAGGGGGGACATCTTGGAGAGTGATATTTTGTATATAAACTCTGTAAAATGGGAAGCTCTTTGCCCTTCTCATATCAGACCCTGTCTGTGTGGGAACTGCCTTTCTTGCAAGAAATAAACATGTGTACTTATGACTTTCGAGATCTTCATTGTACTTTAATTATTTTTAAGATCTAGGTACAAAAATTTCCATAACAGTCGTTAAAGTAAAACATCTTGTTTGGGCCTCTCGGGTCATCTTTTGGGGGTTAATATTTCAGTGTTTGTGTAGTTTTGTGTTACCCTGATCCGGGGTCAGACGTAGCAACCCGGTGTATTATAAAGAGCATTGTGAGAGGATTTCAGTTCATCCCTGTTTGCAGAACGATAATAAGATAGAGCCAGCGCTACAGTTAAAACTACACTAATGAACCCAACATGTGACCCGTCCTACATTGACCCAGGCCTTGGGTTGTTTTAGGAGTGTACCGTATGGACTCGAGGACGGTCTGTCTGTGCTCGGCCGCCTTCAGCCGGATCTGCTCGCGGATGATGTCAGCGTTCTCCCGCTCCACGCGCGCGCGGGCTTTAGACTCCGCCTCCACACGCAGCATCTCGTTCTTGTGCCGCAGGTCCATCTCGTGCTCGATGGTGGCTGCAGGAACACACACACACACACACACACTGTTACGAAGGCAGCGCTGATGTGTAGAGAAGAGCAGGAGTGAGTCGTGTGGGCGTCACCTCTCCTCATGGCTTCCTGTTTCTGCACAGACTCTTCCTGTTTGCGCAGGTTCTCGTCGTTCAGGATTTGCTGTGGAAGAGCAGAACGAGCCGTTAGTCGCGTTTACTTGTGTAACGCTCTTCCAACATTACAGAGATCTGTTATCAGAGACGCAGTATTTCAGAAACGCACATGTAATAATTGTGTGGATCAAGAGTGTGAGTGAATCTGTGGAAACACACACACACACACACACACACACACACTCGCCTGCTGTCGGAGCTGGTCGTCGTACCGCTGCCGGGCCAGTTTATCTTGATACTGAGCTCTCTGTGAATGAACACGTCATGAACACATCATCATCATCATCATCATGACATCACCACGGTCATGACATCATCATGTGTGAGGTCTCACCGCCTGGTGTTGTTTGGTCTCCTCGTTCAGAGTCTTCCTCCGCTCTTCTCCCTGAATGCGGATCTGCTCGCCCTTCAGCTGCTCCAGCGCCGCCTCGTACTCCTGAACAACATCATCATCATCATCATCATCATCATCAGTGTGTAGAGCAGGGGTTTCTATCATTGCTCTATTGGCTGCAGTTGCGTTGCACAGTTAACCAGCGTTAGATAGAAATCGCTTATTGCTTAGAGCGACTTAGAGTTCGATAAATCTGTCAGTATTGTGTTTCATGATGTGCGTGCGAGCGGCTTCGGTTGGTCTGCATTATTAAGGCCTGTTTACACCGGGACGAATTTCACACGCGATATTCGTCGACATTTAACGCCTCGTGACTAAACAATGGGCACTAAAATTTAAAAAAAAAATTTTAAAAACGCCTCGGGTTCGTTTTTTTGGTTTGACGCGCCGCGTCAACACCTATCCGACCAACGAGATCGGCGGGTTTGCTCACGTGTCTGGTACTACAGTAAAACACAACTTGGGGGCGCTCAAACACAAAACGGTCTTGCCGAGCACACATACGGCGAAGAAGAGATAAGATACCTACTGTATGGGCAAGATGATGAGCTGCTGGTCTCGGAGCATAAAGAGCTGTATGATAATATTATATTAGTATTTCTGTAATAATAGTATAGTATAGGGTGACCAACAGTCCTGTTTTCCCGGGACATGTGTAAAACGGTCACTTTGTGCTTTACAGAAATCTGAGTTGAGATGAGAACTGCGTAGTGTCAGTTAGATTTTGACAAGTGAGGAGAACCGCTCTGCCGACTCTTTGTATTCTTTATTTTATTTTTCTATTGTGACCAGATGTTTGTTTGTGTTTTTCTCTCACTCGATCCCCGTGTATGAGGAGGACGAGTGTGACGTTTGAGTGGTTTTATTAAACGCGGGGAAATACGACAACTCTCGTCTCTCGTGCATCTGTTCATCCGACAACGGCTATGTTTTTATCTCTGGGCAACATCTCAAATTTGCGTTACACGTGTCCTGTTTCCACGTCCTGTCCTGACTGTTTTTAAGTGATGAAAATGTCCTGGTTTTCAAACAAAAACTGCTGGGAAAGATCAGTCCTACAGCAAAATATAGATGGACAAACGGGTGGACGAGCAAGAAAAACAAGATAAAGAGAATGAAAACTAAAGATATAAATAGATTTTGTTAGTTCGTTTTTGTAAGTTTGTGAGAGCTATTTTTTGTTACATTTGGAGGTATTTCTTTTAGTTAGCCTATTTATTATTTATATATTTATTTTTCTAATACAGAAGACATTATTTCTATCATTATTTCATTCGTTTTTTCTATCTGTCATAATAAAACATTGACACATGAATATGATCACCCTATTATAGTATTCTATTATTATTTCTGTTTTACATTAAGCGCCATCTAGTGTCAGGGAATGAATGTGCATGTTCACTCGGCTCATCGTCCGCGAAAAACGCTTGGGTGTGAACACAAAAAACGCGTTGAAAAAAACGCGCGCTGATATTCGTCCCGGTGTGTGCGGCGGCTGTTTTGTGTTCCCTCGCATTTTGATATACCAACGCATAAGCAAATTATATATCGCCAGAGAGACGGAGTGTGTGTCTGAGCGTAAGTGTGTATCTGACGCAGACAAACATGGGTGTCTCTGGCGAAACCTTTGATATGGAGCGTTCTGTGAACGGATTGGCACATTTTAAATGTCGCTCGATTGCACGAATTTGATCGTGGGAAGCCAAACTCGTGATTGTGATTAAAATTTGATTAATTGTGCAGCCCTAATTGGCAGGCAATGTTTTTAATTGTAATTATTATTTTTTTATTTAACCATTTAATCATAGTTATCGTTATAGTTGGGTTGCGAACTTCACTACCAGAGCGATTATTAAAACGTTATCATTGTCATCACTATAGTTACGGGTATATACAGATAAAACATGCCTTTAGGTCGTTTATTTACACGACAATACCTTTATTGTATCTGTGTAAGCTACAAAAACGCTCTTCTGTGAACGCGGTGGCGTCATGCGTTACGTGCTCAGTCTACAGGCGCTAGTGTTTACAAGGACATCGCCATCTCCTGGCCCGGAGGCAGAACAGCGCTGCCTCGAGTTTACTGCTATGGGCGTGGCTTTGTAGGAGGACGTCTGGACAGTCCATCAGACAGCTTTCCGCCTTCCCATGATGCCTTGCAGCTGTGTTATGGGAATAAAGCGGAGTGCGGCACGACAGAAGCATCACACGGACAAGTGGATCCGTACAGTAATTTTGCCAATGTCGTCATCTGTATGTGAACAGCGCTTTTCATTTTTGTTGCATCATGTCAACATCTAGAAGTGGAGTGTGTGTTAAACTCCATCATCGGGGTGAGCGAACACCTCCAGTACCTTCACTTTGCTCTGATGCTCCATCTGGACGCTTTGCTCCTGCATGCGCGCGAGATCCAGGGCTTCTTTGGCATGGCCTGCGGTCACAGGGGTCACACATTAACCACATCACTCTAACACACTCAGTAGGTCGTTCATCTGGCGTGACCTTTGACCTAGTGTCCTTCATATCCTCATGACATCTCAACACCGCAGTTATTATAATGAATGAATAAATGAATGAATGAAGCGCGTCGCGTCATAAACGCGGCTCGGTTCTGGTACTCACGGGACCGGTCCAGGTCTTTTGCCGCCTGCGCCGCGCGCTCCAGCCCCGTCGGGTCGAAGTTGCTCCATTTGTCCTTGGGTTTATCTCCCGAACCGGAACCGGAGCCCCCGGGAGGAGGAGGGGGAGCGGGCGGAACCGGGCCCTCCGGCGGACCGACACTCTGGCCTTTATTGAGCCCGAACAGCCACGACATGTTCCGCTGACAGATACTGAACCACCGGGCACACTTACACACGAGTATCACGCCGCGCTCTACGCATGCGCAGCCGCTCCGCGCTGATTGGCGGACGCACACGTCCTTCAGAAGGTCAGAGAGGAAGCCACGCCTCCCCCACGGTGTACGGCGGCCGAGATGCCCCTGCGCGAGTCTTGCGTCAGTGCTCGTCATCACGCGTTTAATAACACAGAGAGAAACATTACAATCTACCCATTAAAGACTCTTTTTCTAAGGTTTCGCACTGATGTAGATGTTACATGTGATTTCTGTGGGACGGAGAAAGAAAATGTTGTCCACCTATTTTTAATTGCATTTATAGCTAAATGTTTTGGGTGGATATGGAATGTTTTCTTTGTAAAGGAATGAAATTTTTCTTTTCTGAAAAAGATGTCTTTTTTTATTTTAATAGACAAAGTTTACCTCCAAATGTGGCCTTTGTCGTTAACCTCTGTTTGATTATGGGGAAATATCATATACACAAACAAAAATGGGCTAAAGGGAAACCAAATTTTTTTTTTTTTAAATTAGATAAAAATGAAAAATTCTTGGGTTAAAAAACAGTAAAGCAAAACGTACGAGGTCTTTATGTGAAGTTTTATGTTATTTACTTCATGATCTCATACCTGTCTCTTTTTTTTGTTTGTTTATTTATTGTATTATTATTTTAATTTGTGTTGTATTCTTTTTTCTATTTACTGTAATGTATAAATATTTCAATAAAAACAAAAAACAAACAAACATTACAATCTAATAATCTGCGACTTTGGAAAGATGTTTGCTGGTTTATCTCAAGCAATATCTTGCAGATTTTCTCAATGAATCCCAAAACTGTTATTTTTCTGAAGCGGATTCAAATGCCTATTTTATAAATCTGTAGAATATAGATTTTAAATATGTAGTGGGGGAAACGCCGCTCTTAAGGAAAATGTGACATTACTGTGAAACAAAACATAAATGTGACTATATTACCATCCCAGTTTTCAGTGATTATGGCAGGAGTTATTTACCAAATATTAAAATTGCTCAACCTTCATAATTATTTATTTTTTTGACTGAAAATATTTTTGTACAAAGAGGGGCGTTTTGGCCCAGCGGTGGGCCAAAACCAGTTACCAACCAGTTTGCTTCATAGATCAACAGCAAAATGAACATAAACATGTGTATATATACCTATTCATATTTATTTCAGGAATGTACAAAATAGCCAAATTTCTAACATTTTAATATTTTGGTTTTCTACACTAGGCCTATATGGGATTGATAATTGATGTAGTATTTGTTCACCACTATCATCAAGAAAAACAGGAAACCCTAAACATAAATTAGTGAAATATATTCCAAAAATGCATTAAAAGTCACTATGTTTTATTATTGGGTCACCTAACCACCTCACATCATTAAATCCACCAAGCTAGCTAGCTAATGCTCACTTGGGGTAATTTTTTCATGTTTTGTTCAAATATCTTGATTTTATCGTCTACTTATACTGCATTAAAGTGTAAAATATAGACTTTGATGAACAGAAATATGTCACTATAGTAATTACAATAAAGAGAAACTATGCCCCTTGGGGGGCGTTTTACCCCACAAGCTATGTCTGTTTACAAAATATAATTATATTCCCAATAAATAACATATGCTCTCAAACTACAGACTTCCCCATTGATCTATCATATATCACTGCGAACAATATTCTATTAAACACTTGTTTACTAATATCTGAAAATTATAGCACTTTCCATGTAATCCTCTTGTCTTCAAATACGTCGCTGGGGTCAGCTTCTCCATGGACATTTCTATATCCCCGTTGTCAGCGTAGAGCATAGCCATAGTAAATATGTATCTTGATTCTTTGTAGTGGTTATTTTGGGAAAAACGGGTGGGGGCGTTTTCCCACAATCTACCCTACGTTTTCAAATTATAAACCCTTTTTTGTTTTTGTAAGATTTTTTCCATCCTCTCTTAACCCAAAAGCATTCAGAACATTTATATTACTTTTAATTGAAGTAATGCCCACTTTCTTCCTTTTTTTTGTTTATTTTACGGTCTAGTTCTGTCTTGTGCTATGGTGTTGGTGAAGTGTTTTCTTTTATTTATATTTTTTGTTATTCTTAATGGTTGTGTTGTAATTTTGTTGTTTTACACTGTAAGCTGGATGTTCAAATAAAGCATTAAAAAATGATCTATAGAAGTTTTGTGTTAATATAACAAAATTAAGGAAGTGTCTTACAAAATATTTCACAGAATTGATCCTGCTAAGCATGTTTTGGAAAGATTTACGCTTAATATTTCGAATTTTGTGCACTAGATAAAAGAAATGATTTTGCATTTGGTTTTTTCACTGTATTATAGTACTTTGAAAAGATTTAGAAACATTTACGAGCAGAAAACTGAAGTGTCTGTGTTATATCCCTACCCCTATTTTTCTTAATTTCTTATTTCAGTTGAGAATCGTAGGATTGGCTCCGCCCTGGAGGGTGTGTTTGCCCAATGAGGATCAGCTGCACCTGTGGCAACCTATTTAAGGAGCTTCTGGATTTTCCCCAGTCTCTCTCATTTTTGTTTTGTAACTTTGTTTGAAGAGTGGGTCCTTGAGTTTGTGTTCTCATTTGATTTCCACAAACCTCATTTCCAACCGTTTATTGATTTGATGTTGTGTTGATATTTATAATTAGTATTTTATATTTTGACCCTAGACACTATTTGTTAAATTTTAAATAAAATTATATTTTCTATTTTGAAACACAGTTTGTGTTCTGTCCTCTTTATGTTATGACTTTGAGCCGGGTCGTAACATAAATTGGGGGCTCGTCCGGGCTCCCTAAAACTGTTCGGTCCGATCAAGGATCCGATTTTATGTCCAAGATTTGTTAAGCAGGTACTGGATCAGTTGGGCGTCTCACATTTCCATAGTGCTTACCACCCAGAGTCCCAAGGAGCCCTTGAGAGGTTTCATCAAACCTTGAAAGCCATGTTCAGACCCGATTCTCTGGGGTTTAGTCCTGCTCAGTTGGTCTTTGGCCATAATGTCCGTGGACCTTTGAAATTGTTGAAGGAGAAATGGCAGTGCATCCGATTCTTCAAATCTACTGGACTATGTTAGTCGTTTTCGCCTGTGAAACTGCTCGTACTAATCTTGCTGGCTCACAGAATAAGATGAAGGCCTGGTATGACAGCGAAGTTTTTCAGTGGGTGATCAGGTGTTGGCTTTGCTTCCTGTCCATGGTTCTTCATTACAGGCACGGTTTTCAGGGCCTTACACAGTTGAACGCAAGGTTGGTGATCTCGATTATGTATGTAACGTAGTCGTTTGTGTCATATTAATATGTTGAGGGCGTACCTGGTTAGAGCAGGTTGGAGCTCAGTTGGTCTAACCAACAATGTGGCAGTATTACCGTGTGCTCCGGTCCTTTCAGAGGAACTGGGTGAACCCTCGATTGAATAATTCTGCGATTCTTTTTAATCTTGAGGCTCATCTTTCTCATTTGCTTCAGATGGAAAAGTCGACTCTGGTAGAGCTGATTAGCTCCTATGTTCCTTTGTTTCCAGATGTACCGAACCAAACTAATCTAGTGGTGCATGATCTTGACGTTTCAGGTGCTGCTTTGATTTTGGCCATCCAACATTTTGAGGTTTATTTGGGCAGCGGCAGTCCGATTAAGGTGATGACTGATCACAATCCCTTAGTGTTTTTACAGCGTAGTAGCACCACCAACCAACGCTTGATGAGAAGGAGTTTGTTTCTGCAGTCCTATCCTCTACATACATGGCTAAATACCGGTTGCATACGCTAAGAATTTGTCAAAAGTTAAAGGTGCTCTATGTAACTTTTTTTATAAAAATAATCCTTTTTTTATTGCCTGTGTTTGAAGGGGTTGTAATCACACATTGCAACGATCCACTTTTCGTGTTCTGCTATAACCTCTGAAGGCCAATATTCATATTTACATGTGAGGTCTCCGGGTCGGATTCCCTGCGGATGTGACGTACATGCGCGCTCCCGAGCCTATGCGACTACCCCGTGCTGTCTGTGGACTAACCGCACTTGAGCTGACGACATGGATAACCCAAGGGGGTAATCCATCCACCGGAAGATGAAGCCTCGCGGGAGCTGCCATCTTGTAGCAGAACTTCACTTGCGTTAGCATTCCCATTGACTCCCATTCATTTTGGCGTCACTTTGACAGCGAATAACTTTACATCTGAGGCGTTTGAAGACCCCATTTGTCCTTTATTTATTTCTAAAGAAACACGACAATGTATAAAATGCTCCATTACCTTGTAGCTCATGTTATGGCCTTGTAGAAGCAGTTTTAGTGAAAGTAGGCTAACGATTGCGTCATACCCACACGACTCTGTCGCACAGTATTGAGATTACCGTATGGACAGGAGAAGAAGCTCACGCGCAATCGGGGAAACGTGGAGGCAAAATGACTAAATAATTAATCAGAATACCTATCAGAAGTGTCTCCTTCTCCTCGCTCATGGACAGCTCCTATTCACTCTCTCCGGCTCGGCGAGATTCAGAAGGGAATGATCCAGATTTCTCATGCCACAGCACTAGAAGACAGACGGGTCGCTCTCGTCACATCTACGTCGTCAAGCTCTGTTTGAGTCTGCGCGTCAGGGACGGAAGTGCTAAAAAAAATCGCCAAAAACGGGCTTCAATCGTCTCGATGGAGTTCCAATGAGATCGCTCTGTCCATTTCTTTTACCGTCTATAGACCTTATTCAGAGCAGCGCCATGACAGGTATG